GTGATGCCCGAACGCTGCTTTTTGGAATGAATTGTACACGCGTGCATGAGAAATTTTCAAATTTGGCCAGCCTCTGGATCTGTGCTCAACAAATGCTTCACGTCTCTAGTTTTCTACACACACACACACGTTGTTCGAAAAGCGGCAACAATCTTATTGCTGTACAAACATCTTCAAAGAACCAAATGAAAAAACCTGTCGTCTGAAGCCCTTTGAGACTAGCACACGATTTCAGAAACTGAGGGGCGAAAGTGAAGTGAAGAGGGACTACATCTTTTCACCACCTCATACAATTTAGGCCACGAGGTGGTGATTGTATCTGCAGTCCATGCAAACAATTATGCTTCATGATAGTTATTATGTTTGTAAAAGGAGAACTAGTTCCGCTGTGACTACCCCATTCCTCTAAACAATTCGGCCATGTTGCTCTACTATATAATCACTAATGAAATGATAAATTATTTGGTGTATTTCCAAGATTGATATGGCGAAGCATCTGAAATGATTGGTCGTTCAAATATGTGCCGGGAAAAAAAAATTATATTGCTGAATGCTTATCAAATGCACGTTCATGAATAAATAACTATGGGCATTTTACCGCACATAATCGAAGCAAGAAATCTGCAAATTTTGATTCTCCCACAGAACAAGAAGTAAAGCAACCTGAAATCAATTTTCAAACTTATTTCATTGCATCTTGCTCTGCCGCATCAACTTCAAACTCAAAATATGCTTTTTTTACAGTCATTTCAACTAGGCACTGAAATTCTTTTAGCTTCACTGTGTCGTGTAGTGCGAAGTGAACTAGTTAAAATTAGCCTTTTAACATTATTTCTTGGCTTATAACAATTGATGACCCAAACTCACTTAGATGTTATGAGTCCAAAGCAGCATAGTCCACGAATTCAAAAAACCAGTGGCTCATATCCATCAAATAATTCATATGACTGCGGCACGGTTCTGCGTCTACTGAATTATGCTCAAATCTTGCAAGGACCTGCAAAAAAAACTTTTTTTGCAAGAGGAACAACTTATAAAGTTTACGAGCACTGTTCTCACAACTTGACTTATTTTGTATTTTCAGAACAAAGAAAATACAAAATAAGTTGTTTTAAGTGCCTAGCTTAACCTACAGCAATGTTTTTTCGGGCATGCTTGTGCACTTTTCTCGGATCCGCTGAAAATCCTGAAAAGACGCTGGCAGTTTTGAAATGATTGATGAAATGATTATTTTTGTATTTTTAGGGACCCTGTGATTTCATTACTTTTTTAGCTCGACCGATCTCTACTTCGAGAAGCAGCGAAGATTTAAAAGTTTTTGCTTTAGTTAGTTCCCTCCCAGAGATGCGCGAACTGAATTATGATATTTTCATTTATTGATACGCTTTAGAGTAATACTGCACCTTACAGGATCTCCTGGCAATCAAACTACTTCCAGCTTATTTCTTCATTCTGCATCCGGATGAAGAAACCGTTGGTTACAGTCGGATGCTGGTGGCTCGCATCCTGGCCACTGACCGCTGCATTTGTAGCAGCGGCTTAGTATTGGTGGCTCTGGCGCGGTTGCTCCTCTAATTCTTGGTTTCAGTGCGCCCCCAGCAAATTTCGTTTGTGTGTGTGTTTCTTTTAAAGCATGTTGAATAAATATTTGCTGTGAACGGAGCGGTTGATCTGTAACTTCGCTAAATGCGCCTCAATTCTGGAATTTGTTCGGCCAGTGGAGGCCAACAGTTTCATTTCGTGAATTAAATTTTTAGTACTGCTTAACACTTTTTAAACGGAGCATCTCTGTCAGTCATCCAAAGCTGCGTAAAAATAACTTTATATGCGACTGTGCGATATCGAAAAGTCACTAAAATATTAGAACTGCACTATGTGAATAAAATTATGACGCATAAAATGCATGAAAACTTGGATGCTCGGTGTAGCATCAGTCATTCTCGAAGGCTCGAAAAAGGCGAAACTCGATTATAACTCGATTATTCGTGTCAAATCGGTCGGAGTA